TAACAACAGTTTCCCTCGTTTAATTTTAAAAGAATTTAGGTTTCCCACCTAAAATTAAATATTCCAATAAATCTTCCATAAGTCTAGTTCTTCAAATAATTTATAAATTTCATAAAAAAAAATATTGATAGGAGAAAATCATAATCATCTAATTATAGACATTTGTAAGTGATATAAATTTAGATTTAATAAAATTGAATTGTTTCCAACATAGATGAGTGAATGTAAGTTAGTCATGATATTTTTGGTTTAAGGTTTGGTAAATATGTTATAGTATTGTATGTGATTTTAGGGTTAGATTGTGGAATCTTTTTTTTTTTTTTAAAAAAAACTAAATTAGACATATATGTGTTTAGTTTTGTGTATATTAAACATTTTATAAGTTCATTTTAAGTTTAATAAAGTTTTTGTATGTGATTTAGTTATATATTTGATTTTGGGGGGTTTGGAAGACTTAAATTTTTGAAGATATAATGCACTAGAAGATTTATTGGATGACTTAACAACAGTTTACCGCTTAATATTTTAAAAGAATTTAGGTTTCCCGCCTAAAATTAAGTCTTCCAGGGAAAATTTTCTAATGTATTAGTTTTTCAAATTATTTATAAATTTCATAAAATATATTTTTATAGAGAAAAATCATAATCATCTAATTATAGACATATGTACGTGATATAAATTTAGATTTAATAAAACTGATTTTTTTTTCAACAAATTGAATTATTGTTAGATTTTGGAATCTTTATATTTTTAAAAAATATTTAGAATTGACATACATGGGTTTAGTTTTGTGTATATTAAGAAATTTATAAATTGATTTTAGGTTTAATGAAGTTTGTTTTTTGAGATTTAGTTAGTTACTTGATTGTAGGATTTGGATAACTTATTGAAATGTTTTCTAACAAATAATGCACTAGAAAATTTTATGCAAGACTTCTGAACGAATAAGAAATTTAGGGTCTAAAAGACTTATTAGAAGACTTACACATTCTGTTTCTGTTAAAACACTTACACATCTTGGAAAAATTTCATGTAAGTCTTCTAAATTAGAAGTTCTAACAGAAGACTTACATGAAAGTTTTATGTATCAAAAATATTAAACCTAATTGGAAATTTTATTTTCCTATATAAAGAAACAAATTATGCATTCTCTTTTTCCCTCTAAAAATGGAGGCAACAAAATGTAATATTTCTCATTCTACAACTCTCTAACCTCTCTCTAAACTATTTGATAACACCAATCCTTATATTTTTATGTGTTTCTCACTATTTTATCTTGTTTTTACAAGTTTTTCCTTACATAGCTGTCATCTTTCATTAATTTAAAGATATATCTATAAATTTTGGATATGTATTTTTTGTCTTTTATATGTTATATTCTAATAAGTTATAGATTCAATCTAATGTGATTATTTTAGTTATTATTTAAGCTTAAAAATATAGTTTTTCTATTCTTTTTTTTTTGTTTTGATGTCATTTGAACGTTTTTTGATATCAGTTTTTTCAGTTACAAGTCAGACATTAAAAGACTTAAAGAAGACTTTCAGAAGACTTTCGTAGAAGTCTTCAGACGTAGTCTTCTTCCATGTCTCCTCTTTCATAACATATCCGAGCGTTTTGGTATGTTTTCATGTCTGATTTTTATTCATTAAGTAATCTCTTGTTACATAAAGCTCTTATCTTTTTCCCAGATTAAAATTCTCCAACCTCTCTTTAGTTTCTTTAAACATGAAAACACCAAACTTTATATCAATTTTTCATTTTTTTTTCCCCTAGACATTTCTTACTAATTTTTCATGTTTTTTATCACATTTTTGGATTGATAGGTTTTTCAGATATGAGTCCGACTTTGGAAGAGTTATGGGAAGTCTTCTAATAAATAATGCGCTTGAAGACTTCCTCTGACAAGTCTTCTCTCATATCAAGTGGAGTCCAAGCTTGTCTTTGTGGAGGAGTGATCTATATTAGTTTTGTTTGTGGTTTGTTTTGTGATTTGTATGTGTACTCTTTAGTTGTAATTTGGTTTTGTAAATTTGAAGAAATATTAATGAAAAATATGGTAAATATGTTATTGTCTAAAATTACTTGACATTATTAAAATAAACAAGAGTAGAATAAAAGTAGGGTTTCATGTTTGTAAAATCAGTAATGATGTTTCTCAAGATGTAATATACTCTCTCTGTTCCTAAATAATCCATGTTCTAGACTTTTCACAAATATTAAGAAAACTCATTTAATTTTGATTGTAAATGCATTGTTTTTTGTGAATAACAATTTTCCATAACTTTTAACCAATAGAAACTCAATAAACACCATTATTATTTTTGAAACTTACAATTTTTCATTAAATCATTCATTGAAAAGGTAAAAGATGCATCTTTTTGGAACATTTTTTTTTCTATAATATACATCTTTTAGGAACGGAGGGAGTATGTGTTAACAATGTGTTTTCTACTTTTACAAATCAATGCAATAAAAAATTTAATGGTCTTCAGATTCAAAACTCCCATACTCTGCAAAAAAAAAAAAGTTTGTGACTGTAAACAACTTCATCTCATTAACTTACAATAGTTGTTCATCACTTTTAACTTCTAAGAAGTAAAACCAACACAGTCTTTTAAGAAGTAAAACCAATAAATTTTGTAATTATAAACAACTAAGATTTTATGAGTAGGTCACTCTTCCAACTTCATTTTCATGTATTTATTATAATTTTCTTGAAATTATTTAGCAATTTTAATAGCTAATAAACTTAACTTCAAGTTACTTAACATTCTTAAAAATACAAGTTTACAAAACTAACGTGGAAGATTTCCATGAAAGTCTTTTGAGAGAAGACTTCTTAATAAGTCGTCTTCTTAGATTAGCTAGAAACATTAAAAACATGAATATTGGTAACCTCTAAAGTATAATTAAGTTATGAATTTTAATCAGGACCCAAAATATTGTCTAAAACACATGAATTAACAATAAAATCTTAAGAAAATATTTTAAATTTGAAGAAATAAATTTTATATTACATTGTCGTAGAATACTTCCATGGAAGTATTCCCTTTATGTTAGTTTTGCAATTGAAAATTTATCGACTAAAGCAAAAAAAAACATTATTATTATTTCAATTCGTTCTTATTTAAAATTATCATCAATTTTAATTTTTAAATTAATCTTTTAAATAAATGTAATAAAAATAATTTATTTTTAAAATTAATATTTCTAGTTATACTCAACCACCACAAATTCGTCAAAGGATTCAACCATTTTCGCCAAGCTACAGATGAATTTATGACAATGGTACGCATTTGTATGGTATATTACTGGTGGTTAGTGGCAATTTCGAAAAAGGAAAAGAATAGCTGGATAAACTATCCTTGGGAAAATTGTCAATTCAAGTCCAATCTATGCTGAACCATGATTAAGAATTCACAACTGGAGTCAGAATCATTTTGAAGACAAATTATGTAACCAATACGTTTACAATGAAGCCTCTAACAGATTGCCACATAGATATTGATAAAACATGCGAGAATTGTTACTATTTTAAGAGGATGAATGAATTTATTATCTTCATTCGAATAAGATAATCACAAAATAAACACATGTATTTATATGTTTTTTCTTTTGGAACATCAACTTTACGTTATGTTTTAAGTTCAATTATATTTACTCTGGTGCAACTATCAACTATTTATTCTATTTTATTCGGTGAAAACTATTTACAATATTATCATTAACCAGTGTCAAATAGATAAAAAAAACTATTTGAAATTCAATAGAGAATAAAACATACAAAACCAGCATGTAGCGCTGGGACACCACTAATTAATAATATTAAACAACCACAAACAGAAGAATATTTTAGAAGTACACTATATTATCAAGTTATAAGCAATATATTGTATCACCTTTTTGTATAAATTAACTGTACACAATTACAAGAAGAAAAAAAATTATTTTATTAAATAAAATATTCGCAAGGATTTTAAAGTTACCTATATTTTAGGTTTATTTAATATTTCTTAAATATTCTAAGTGTTGAACTTTTTTTATATAAAATAAATTTCTTCATATAACTTTGCAACAGATAACATATTTTTGGCTATGAAACAATTTTTGAACAAATATACTTATTAATATGTACAACCATACTAAATAGTTAGATTTATAAATAAATACAATAAAATAGTACTCACAGCATATCATTTTGATTGGCTTAACATTCAAAAACAATATGGACAACCGATACATATTCAAACAATTAAAAATTATAATATAATCACCAACGGGTTAAAATCTAATATTTATTAAAAGCGGATACAAACTACGAAGCTTCTGTAATATTCAAAAAAGATTCATGAAATTGTCACTAGAAAAATGCTTGTCTCTTGCAAAGTATTTCCACAGGCAGTTAACAAAAGATAGAGATTCGTTCAGGGATTCCAATATAGCGGAGAAGTAGCATTTGGTGCTGAGTACAAAGAATGTTTAGTCAGCTATTTCAGAAGTGTGCCAAGCTATATAGATAAGAATCCATACAAGCTGCAGACCAACATATGAAGTACATTATCCTAAACCTTCAATACCACAGCTGAAGCAAAGAGTTTGGTAGTGCTGAAGTAACGAAAACAAAATTCACCAAGAAGAGAGTAAGTGACGCCAAGATACCCTCTTGGTAATGTTCAAAAAAGAAAAAAGAAAAAAAGATACCCTCTTGGTATTACACTTGTCATAATTTTTTTACAATCTTAGAATTTGTTTTCTTTAGTTTTAGTGGTCAACATTAATCTCTAGTTTAAATTTATTTGATCTGATCTTATGGAATTACCTTACTTTTCGACACCGAATGCTCCTCCCACCATATGCTTAGTTGGTCAATTTTAGGTGTCTATCTTTAGTCTATTACCTTATTTATCACAAAAGAAACTATAAATATTACAGTTTGGGTCTTTGAGACTTTAGATCCAAAAATGAATCATCTCATTATTTTTATGTTAGTTATTTTTATGTGTTTTGGTTTTAAAGAAAGTTCGGGATGCGCTCCAAACATTTTATCATTCAAAAACCAACTTGCAGCTAATCGTGTGATCTCTGTCAGCTGCGAGTCCAACTTAAACGAAAAAAAAGGTCTCGTTAATGTAAAATTCAATGATGTATACAGCTTTCCTGTTGTGGAAGCATCAAGGAGAATAGTATGGAGATGTAAAATAACAGATGCGAAGACTGGGAGTTTTTTCATGTTAGACAGAGCATATAGAGGAGCCTACAACCCTCGATGTGGTCAGACACGCGAATATATTGTTGGTCTTACAGGCCTTTCCTTGTTGAGAAATAAAGCACCTACCAATAAAATTGTTCCTTGGACGGTTGCTAAAGTTTAAAGTGGGAGAAGGCGGGTAGCATTGCGGTGGGGGACAGTGTTACCATTCACATATAATTGTGTGTCTGTTTTATCTAGTAATTACTGTCCATGCTTTGCATGGGATTTTTAATATTACTCAAAAAAGTAAATAATTGCTTCTTGGTGTATGAGTATTGTAAATATATGTGTAATATTATAAATAAATAAATTAAGTATGATTAACCAGAAGGATATATTTAATAAAAGTTCAAAGATATTTTAAAATTAAAAAGTATAAACATGTTTTGAGAATATTGTAAATAATTTCAAAATTAAGCAATCAAACAGCATATAAGATATTGAAAAATATATATATAAGAAAAAGAGGACAATGTTCCAAATATTCGCTATCTGTAAAGGAGAAAGTGAACAGAAAGGTACTGCCACTTATGTTATGTCTTATGCATGGATTAAGTCATATATATCAGAGTGTTTGTACTTTGTACCGTTTATCACTGGCTAAAGATTTGTTGACGCAAGGTTTGGGCAGATACAGATGGAGAAAAAAATAGGTCTTAAGGTGTACAGATGAACAGAATCATACTAGAAGAAAACTTTCAATAGACCAGCTTTATAACGCCATTGATAGAGCTTTATTTGAACGTATGATGAATGCATAATATGAAGCGTGAAGATGGTTATTTATGTTTCTAGGGTCCTAGAGCAAAAAAACCACAGTGAAACAAGACTTCAAAGAAACTTCTTAATTAAGTCTTGTTTTTTATATACAGATTCTGGATCTGGTACTTGTTCTCACATTATGGTACATGAACAAAAGCTTCTCTGTGAGGCATCTTCCTCTTCAATTTTCTTCTCTGCAATAGAAGAGAAGATGACAAAAAAAAAGTAACTGAACTGTACCAGGATTTTTGTCATGTTCATCTTTCAAGAACTCCTAAGCAATCATTCCATAAAGAAAGATGTACAGAGATAAGAAAGCAAGAGAATTAAGACCTGGTCTTGCTTTTGTTGGTGACGGTTGCACGACAACATGCATTGCAATGACGGATTTATGGAGATCAGCAAAAGGAGCTTTACACTGTGCAACTGTTCTACCATTCTCCAGGATCTTACCAGCATTTATCAACTTAATGCCACTAGCTGCTTTTGGAACAACCTTCTTGTCTAGAGACAGCACATAAGGTACAATAGGAAATCAAAAGTGTGACACAAGTGAAGAAGCTGTTAAAAACATGGATCACAAGCCCAAGTAACTGTTCAGGAAACTTAAACAATGGATGAAGCAAAACTTAATCTAAAGCAATCAAAGAACATTTGTACTAAAGACTCTAAGCTCACCTTTAGGCCATTCAGAGACGATTCTCTCCTTGAGGATTCCCACTGTGGCGGTTGGAGGGTACTGAAACGGTCCAACATCTGAACCGTCAGATAACCGAAATTTAAGTTCTACCAAATCTTCCTCCGGCATTTGATTATCTCTTTCTACTAGAAACAAAACTCTCAGATGATCTAAGAAGCAATAATCCAACGCCAAATGAGACCTCAAATGTCCCTGTAATAAGAGCAAAGATAGATTGTCAAATCTCTATACCGTCAAGAAACTGTATAACCACAAGAAAGATTTGCCCAAAAACATCAAAACTTTGAACTCATCAGTTAGGTACTTAAACCGTCATAAGACAAAATCAGCACACATAAACACAAATGTTACTTGAACTAGACATTCAAATGAAGCTCCAAGTCTGTTGAACAGTTAACTAGACATCAATATTCAATGAAAACAGAAACGTTACTAAAGATGAAAGGAGGAATGAGACACTAAACCTTAGAGACAAAGAGAGAGTAAGCAGCAAAACCAGGCCCGTCCCTATTATAAGGCAAGTAAAGCTAAAGCTTTAGGCCACAAAATTATTAACAAATTTTTAGGCCACATTTTTCTGAAATTGATTATAGTTAAATGGTTAAAGACAGTATATTGACTTCTTGTTTAAGGTAGAGTCTGCAATCCTCAATAATATGGTTTATGTCGAACTTTGTAATGTTTAGATTTTATTCTATTTTCACATGTGTTATTTGTTATTTTGTGTTATTTAAGATTAAAAAGTAATAGTTGTTCAACCAAACTACTGTTTTTTTCTGTTTGTTAAAAATCAAAATGTTATAAATAAAATATATACTAATAGTATAAGGTTCATCTGATTTTGTTTATGAAACTAAATTAGTATTATATATATATGTGTGTATAACAGTATTTTACAAATAAATATAAGTAACTATATATAAATTTGCTTTAGGCTCTACCGGGACGGCACTGAGCAAAATTGTCTTGAGATTGGAGATAGAGTAGTTTTTTAATATATTTTTACTGCTCTCTGCTACTCTCAAAATTTTCTGATATTTTTCATTACAGGGAATCCGTAGAAGATGATAAAGACAAGAGAGATGTGGAAAAGTATGTTACTTTATTAATATTAGTCAAAAAATTGAAACCTTTGTAGGCGTTTTGACGAGGACATGAAAAGAAGAGCAAAGCTTGGTCCAATATGGCTTAACTGAACACACCATATCCAACGAATCTTCCAACTTTCACAGAGAAGAAATAAATAGATCTTAATGGGAGTATCTATTTGACTCGCACAGTAAAAAGAAAAGGAAGGTTCTTTTCTTTGATTCAAAGACTACAGACAAATTCATTTACACTAACATCATCGAAGCAAATTAAAGTTTTGAACTTTATTAGTAACAAATAACATTACTTGACGAAACAGACACAACTAGAAAGTGGCTTTTAGACATCAAAACCCGGTTTAAAGCCTAATGTGCAAGAGATAACCGTAGACCAATTTCAACAGAAAACACAGAGGATGAATTACACATGTCTCACTATTGGGCCTAAGCCCATATATTTTGAAGGAAAATGTTATGAGTCTATAGATAACATTGGATGAATCTTCTAGCCCCCAACGTATACAGTCTGGTTTCTTTTGAAACAAAATTTTCTTAGATTATATTTTATCATTTGAGTTATGAAGATTTAAAATTTTCTTAGATTATGTTTAATTTTGTTTCTTTCCTTTCCATTGTCATACATATTTATGTTTTTAAATATACTATCCAATCTAATTTTATGCTTAAGATAGCTATATCCATTTATAAGCATAAATACAAAAATAATCACAAAATCTTATCATCACAACATAATCTAAGCCATCAATTCAAATTTATTAAAATATCTTCAACTACTTTATTAAAAATGTTTATAATTAGTATTCTTTATTTTTCACTTAAAATATTGTTTGATGGATTTAAGTCGAAATCAACCTCACTGGTTATCTTTGCGTATAACACACGATTTTTTGATAAAAAAAACACACACACGATTTATAAAAAAAAACGCGGGATTAACACCTAATTTATATTTTAAAACAAAATATTTTAGCTAATTGGACATAGAGTGATATATAATTATGTTTAGATTTAATCGATCTAATTTTATGTTCAATGTAGCTAGATCTAATTTTATGTTCATTTATAATCACAACTACAATAGAGTCACAAAATCTTAACATTGCAACATAATATAAGCCATCAACCTAACCTTATTAAAATATCTTCTATCACTATATTATAAAGCAATTTTAGAATAAATGTTCTTTAATTTTTTATTTTTCACTTAAAAAAACTCGGCTTTACTCAGGACCGGCCTTTAATTGTATCTTTGCGTGTAACACACGATTAATATAAAAAAAAAGCGCGGTATATTTCTGTATAACACACAATTAATAAAAAAAAAAGTGCTAGACTAACACTTCATTTAAAATTTCAAACAAAACAATTTAGCTACTCCAGTAGATATCACAATGAATAACTCTAAATATATGGATTGATAGTAAATTTCTAACAATAGTTAATACATTAGGTAGGATATTATATTTACCCACAGAAAGGTATGATACGATTTATTTCCTTAAACAAGTCATATACTTTTTTTCTGTGTAGGAAAGAAGCAATGGGTGCAATGTACGTACCATTTTGGTGCATCCATGCGCTCTTGTTGATTACGTGTCTAAGCATCACCAAGAGCCCTTCAAAAACTTCAATCTCATTATCTCTAATCCTCTTCGCTAAGCCTCAAGTTTACAAAACCCTCACTTCTAATCCATTATATATATCTTCTTCTTTATCCAACAAATCTCTCATCATAGCTCAACAACATTTCACTTAGATTTCTCATTTTCTGCTCATACCCGTTTGTGTGTGTGTGTAGTGGCTGTGACTTGACTAAACGAAAAATAATCGGAAATATCGAATTTTAGTGCAAACATGGGTTTTTTAACGTGTTTTGGACTGAGACCAAAACGTAAGGTGGTCCAAAAACCCAAGATGAAACCCGTTGCTGTTCAGGAACCCATACATGACCAACCACCGTCATCGTCTTCTGGTTAAATCTCACTTCCTATGTTCCTTTTTCATTCTTTGTTATTCACAAACCTAGTTATACAGTCTTATGTCACAATCTCGAACAAGGATCTGTGTTTTCTAGGGTCAAAACATTGTTTATTTGGTTTTATTATCGAAGTGTTTAATCCACTGGTTCATAGTGTAACATGTGATACATACTCTTATTGTGTGTGTGTGTGTTTATTCTATGTTAGCCAATCCAGCGAGAGTTTCATCAGATCTTAGAGCACTGCTACCTCCATGTGATCAGCCAAGAAAAAAATTCGCATACCAACAACTAGCCACCGCAACAAACAACTTCAGCCTGGATTCTAGGATCGGACAAGGTGGATTCGGTGATGTATACAAAGGAAAGTTAGAGATTAACGGACAGGTAACTGTAAACATGTATTCTTTGGACAATCAAATCATAAAACAATCTCTTGATCGAACTAGCTCTTGTTGTTGTTGTGAAAAAAACATATGATATCTCTAATGAACGGATAATCTTTTTTTTTTTTGTGTGTGTGTGGATATGTTGTTGATCTACAGTTAAAGGATGTGGCTGTTAAGATGCTTGATCCGTGTGGTAGTCAAGGAAACAACGAGTTTCTTGTGGAAGTCTTTATGCTCTCGATTTTTCGCAACAAAAACCTCGTGGAAATGTATGGTTATTGCTGTGAAGACAATCAAAGAAGCATCGTCTATGAATATATGCCTCTTGGATCTTTAGAAGATTGTCTCCACAGTAAAAAAAAAACTATACTCCATCCTCAAGAAAACTCATTACACTATAAATCTTTAATAAAGTTTTCTTTGTTTTTTTCAGATTTCAAATCTGCTCAAGAGGTTTTAGATTTGCCCACAAGGATGAAGATAGCTTTAGGAGCAGCTAAAGGGTTAGCATATCTTCACAATGTAGCAAAACCAGCAGTGATCTATAGAGATATGAAAACTTCAAACATATTGCTAGACAATGAGTTTCAACCGAAGCTCTCTGACTTTGGGCTTGCAAAGATTGGTCCAAATGATGGCATGTCTCATGTCACTACTAGAGTTATGGGAACTCTCGGGTATTGTGCACCCGAGTACGCGGCTACTGGGAGACTGACGCTGAAGTGTGATATTTATAGCTTTGGAGTTGTGATTTTGGAGCTTTTCACTGGACGCAAACCTTTTGGGGACTCATCCATGGGTGCACATGGTTTCCTTGCGAAATGGGTAATGCTCTAATTAAATTAAATATGATTTTACGTAATAGACTATGGACCGGTTATGGGCATAGCCATGTGAAGCATTAGTTTTTGAATTCCCAAATTTTTAAGAGTCAATATATATAAACATAGCTAGTCTATAATTTGTTTTTAAAAAAAAAGACATTTATTAAAGCTATGATCCTTAAAATTATAGGACCGGCACTGGTTATTTTAATGAAGAACTTCTTTCATACACAACCAAATGATCTTATGATGACTCTTTGTTGGTCCTTGACAGGCACTGCCATATTACAGGAACCAAAACATAAAAGGGCTAACAGATCCGATGTTAGCAAGACAAGGTCATCCGTACTTGGACGAGATCGTGAAAAGAGCCGTTCACTTGGCGTTTGCGTGTCTGAAAGAAGACGCAAAAGCTAGACCGGCCATTGGCCAAGTAGTGAAGGCTCTGGAGGTACTAGATGAGTTCATAGCGAGGAAAGATAACGAAACGAGCATTCAACATGAACTACCAATAGATAAGGGGAAGAAAGTTGAAGGGTCAACTGTGTATGAAGAGGATGAAGATTTTAAGAGACAAAGAGATATTGCTGATGCTACTAAGATAAGGGCTAAAGGATTTAAGAGATGAGCAGAGAAAGAGCAATGAGCCACCAAAACGGACTCGTTAAAACAGTGTTGAAAATGAACAAATGTTTTAATAATGTGTTTCTTTGCTAAACTTTTTTTTGTGAACTGCTATAATATAAACAGAATTTTGGTTGGTCCAAATGTTAATTAGTTTTCTTGGCTTAACAAAATTTCAATGCTTCTTTGATAATTTAAAATTTGGGTAATAGGCTTGATTGGTTTTGTTGATGGTAATAATTGTTCGTGTTTGACAATAACTACAAAAACACTTCTTATCCAGTACCCATTATTTCGTAATGTTTCAAACTTAGCAAAATGAAAAACTGATTTTTTTTCTGGTTTTTATGTTGCGGATAGTGAAATTTTTTTTTTTCAAAATCTTAAAAACAAATTTCATTACAAATAAAAATTAAAAATTTAAGATTTATATATTACATATTCTGCAAACGGATGTTTTTAATTGTGGCATCAGGTGTTTAAAATTAAATCGCTTCATATCGTTTTAAACGCAAACACACACATCTACAAATTCATGGATTATGCGCGCACTCTTTGTGGCAGCATGGATTATACACTTACAAGTTACAACTGCTGCATTTGAACTTTGAACCCATGAGTCTACACAATTGTATTACTTGTTACTTTTTTAACAACGATATATATTAAAAAAAAAAAAAAAAATCTCAAAAGTCAAAACGATGAGCTATTTGTTTGTTCTTAGCCCTATTCGCCTCAAACTGATCAGACACATTCTTCTCTCTGGCCTTAGACTTGTGGATGCTCTCTATCAAGACAAGGCTTGTTCTTGAAGACATTACCCTTAACACGCATGTACATGTCATGGTACATGTGCTTGTCAATCTGGTATTGCTTCAAGAGATGCCTGAGACTATTTATTTACAAGGGCATCAAAGTCGAATGCGTATAAAATGAAGCTCATAAAAGGAAAGATATCGATTCATAAGTAGACAAAAAAATCACGTAAACCCTACAAATACTCCAACGTGTTTATGGAAATGAAGCCAATCGGTAGTCTAATGCTGATGGGAAGCATCATATATATCTTTGAATTCCACTTTAGATTACTCCTCTCTCTAAATCCACTTGTGCATTTGTAACTTTGACACTCCTACTCAAAATATCGTCAAATTGTATAAAACTAAAAACACACCCTCTTTCCTTATTTCTCTTCCTATATCTCTCAAACTTCTCACTAAAAATCTAATTATTTTTTTTTTGTTTATTTGACAAATAAACTCAAAACTAATTTTGTATGTTTTAATAAAAAAATATATTAGTAAGTTTAAATTATATAATGGACATATAGTTAGGCCCACTTGGGGGTATATATAATTCAGATTCCAAAGCTCAAAACAAATATTAATGTCTGTGCAGAAGGTGAGTCCATCATAACCCATTGGTTGGCTGCCATCATTTTTATTTCCCACCTTTTTTTTTTTCTCTCGAGATTTTAAAAGTAAAAAACCTCTTTTTAATCACTTAATATAGTAGTATATCTTTTTTATCAAATCGAACAAAAGTTTATTATTTTTTGTAAGAAAAATTTTGCGGACTTTATCTCTATTGGCCCCACACAACAAAAGTAATAATAACCAATGAGGTAATGACACATCAGCTAATATTACTGATTCTCCGTCTCGGCTGTCAAAACAAGAAAGAAAGAATAAAACGACGGTCACAATTTCGAGTCCCTTTGTTTTGTTTCTTTATATATATAAAACGAAAAAAGAAAGGAAGTAAAAAAAAAAAGTGTGGGGGAGGGGAGGAGGGAACCCACCATTAGAGTTGGAGGCAAAAAAAAAAAGAGAGAGGCTGTTGTTGCTTTTATCGCTGGCTTACTCGTGACCTTGTCGGGTTACTTCGCCGGAATCTAAAGAATCAATTCGCCGGAGACTTACCTTTCTTCTTCTTCTTCTTTGTGTGTTTTCTTACTTGTGAGGGAAAAGCTGAGAGCTATTATTGGTGACGACGTGGAGAGATAAGAGAAAAAAATAGAAATTTGGAGAGGTTAAAGGTTGAGGAGAGATGTATGTAGTGCCTCCGCCTCCGAGATCCGATTCAGGATCCAATGGTGATTTACGGGTTTACCAAACTTGGAAAGGCAGCAATGTGAGTGTCTCCCTTTTTTATTTCTTTCTTCTTCTCTCTCTGTGTCTTAATCTTTTTTTGGGTTTTAATTTTATTTTCGTCTCTATGTTGTTGTTATTGAGCTACTAGGATTAATCACACCTCTTTCATTTCTACTCTCGATTAGTTGCTTTGTTTGTTACTGTGACTCGGATTGGATTTAGATATGTGCCCTAATTTCAAAATTGGAACTTGGTTTGTTCCTGTTGTTACTCTTTAAGCAAAGAAGTGTTTTTTTTTCGGAGGATCCTAGGTTTTGATGTATTTTTCATTGGTGGGCTTAAAGGTTTACAAGAGTTTTGTTTTGATTACTCTTTGAATGGTTTTAAAGCTAAACTAAAGTCCCAAAGTAACACATTTGATCTAACACTAAAAAAAGTGTAAAGCTTTTCGATGTAGTTTCTCTATAAGTAGCCATTTTAGCTTTAATCTTGTGTTCCACAAGTGGTGAATTTGTGATTATATGGCTGATTTCTATTTAGAGCAATTTTACTGAAGTCATACAAAGTTTAGAAGCTTTTGATGTGATTACCATTTAACTAAACTAAAATGCCAAAGTAACACATTTAGCTTACACTAAAAAAAGTGTAAAGCTTTTTTGATGTGATTAACCTATTCATAGAGCCATTTAGCTTAATGTGATTACCACTTTTATAGTGTTAGCTTCATTGTGGTACACAGGTTTGGGATTTGTGATTATACAGCTGATGTCTATTTATAGCGCAATTTTACTTGAAGTCATACAAGGTTTAGAAGCTTTTGATGTGATTACAATTTAACTAAACTAAAATGCTAAAGTAACACAGTGAGATAACACTAAAGTGTAAAGCTTTTTGATGTGATTACCCTATTAGTTTAACTTATGATTTTGTAGAGCTAGCTTCAATGCCTTACACAGGTTTGGAATTTGTGCTGAGTCTATTTATAGCAATTTTACTGAAATCACTTTCTCTTTTACTTCACTTAATACTTTATAACCTATTTCATTATTCGATATCAGAATCATACCAAAAAGTGTTATCCCTGGCTTCTTCTCTTGTTATAGATAGTATTTACTACCTCTAGTTGATTCTTGTTATTAAGAGATAGCTTACTTGGACACGGTTCCTCCACTTTTGCTGAATCTTAACACACTGTTTTTCCTGTTTTTTTTCCAGAAATTCTTTCTTCAGGGAAGATTTGTATTTGGGCCAGACGTAAGATCACTGGCGCTGACAATATGCCTCATTGCTGTCCCTGTCACAATCTTCTGCATCTTCGTCGCCAGGAAGCTAATGGATGACTTCTCAGATAGCTGGGGAGTATCTATAGTAGCTGTAGCCGTCGTCTTCACCATTTATGTAAGTATTAGTTTCTTCACTTTGCATTGCAGATGTGTTCTAATGATAAAAAATCATGGTGTAATTTCCTTTTTCTATCCTCAGGATTTGATTCTTCTGCTGCTTACATCCGGAAGAGATCCAGGAATCATCCCTAGAAACGCTCATCCTCCTGAGCCTGAACCACTTGACAGCAACAACATGGATGCAGGAGCTGGCCAGACTCCTCAGTTGAGACTGCCTCGCATTAAGGAAGTAGAGGTTGATGGGATTACATTTAAGGTCAAGTATTGTGACACTTGCATGCTCTATAGGCCTCCTCGCTGTTCCCACTGCTCTATTTGCAACAACTGCGTTGAGAAGTTTGACCATCACTGCCCTTGGGTTGGTCAATGTATTGGGCGGGTAAGTCACTGTCCTGTCCTTAAAACTATTCTCATGAAAACTGTATCTCATGTTCTCGTGGTTGTTGTTTACAGAGGAACTACAGATTCTTCTTCATGTTTGTCTTCTCCACGACACTTCTCTGTATATACGTGTTTGCCTTCTGCTGGGTCTATATAAGGAAAATCACGGAATCAGAGCATACGACCATTTGGAAAGCAATGCTTAAAACTCCTGCCTCTATTGTTCTCATAATCTACACATTCATATCGATGTGGTTTGTTGGTGGCTTAACAGCTTTCCATCTATATCTCATCAGCACAAACCAGGTACATTGCTACTAATCCCTCTTGGAGATGATGAAATCGTTGTAACCTTTGATTCTTTGCCTTTGCAGACTACTTATGAGAATTTCAGATACAGATATGATCGGAGAAGCAACCCACACAACAAAGGAGTGGTTAACAACTTCAAAGAAACATTTTGTTCAGCAATCCCTCCTTCAAAGAATGACTTCAGAGCCATGGTACATCGTGAACCTCCACTGCCTCCTAGATCTGTTACAGGCGGTTTCATGAGTCCAAACATGGGTAAAACCAATGACGACATTGAAATGGGAAGGAAGGCTGTTTGGGCTGACATGGGCTCAGCAATGTCAGAACATGGTGATGGCAAACATGGTGGTAACAATGAAAGGTTACATGTTAAGGACGGTGAGTTAGGAGAGTTTTCACCAGATGTTAGGACGACGGTTGATGAACAAAGTGATAGGCCGAGTATGCACCCGAGACGGTCAAGCTGGGGAAGGAAAAGTGGGAGCTGGGATATGTCGCCAGAAGTTATGGCCTTAGCAGCCAGAGTAGGAGGAGAACAAAACCAGAACGGTGGAGGAAGCAGCAGTGGAAGTGGTTTAGTGACTGAGAACAGGCCTACATAGTCAGATACACGATTTAGCACGGAAGGAAGACCAAACAGAGCTGAAGCAATCTGCCAGGTGTTTTTTTTTCTCAAACCCTTTTTCTTTTGGATTATTCAGCTTAAAATCAGTTTATGCAAGCTTGTGGTGTTGTAACTTTCCATTGTTCTTAATGTGGAAAGTGTTTGTGTTGTTGGCTTTGTTGTGGTAAGCAAAAAGGTTTGAATTGGTGTGTTTGTGTTTACTTGTTTGTATGAGTGAGCTTCTTGTGGATTGCTCAGACTATTCTTGTTTTAGCTGTGTTTATATATTTAATCAGAGACATGTTTTACGGTTAAAACAAGCTTCTCTGTTGTCTTATCATCAAATAAGTTACAAGTGAATTATCAAAACATGTGGACCAGAAGGCTATTTATATAATTGTTCATTTGAAGGATGACTTTGCAATGAATGCGTAAGAACCCTAATGAAGTAAACTAAGTAATGCTTCTCCTAATTATAAGATAGTTGGTTACAGAAGGAGAGTGTGTTAAGGTCTTTATTGAGTCAAAGATAGTCAAGAAAATGTCCAAATCAGTAACTAAAGCCTTGAATTATGTGAAGATAGCCATTTGGAACAAATATATGAAAATCACTTTCCAGTAAAAAAAAAAAAACCTTGAATCATGGAGCTTAAACCAACTTCATGAAAATGAAAATTCTAAGCTTTTACAAGTAAACATCAGATCATAAATGCAGGATCTTTCAAGAGAGTCGATAAGATTTTCCTCAGTGTTACATACAGAGACATATATGTACATATAAAAATAACATGGAGTCATGGACCATATTCTAACTGAAATGTCACTGTTATCATTTACTAGCCTCTGCTCCTCTTTATTATGAGCCTTACTAACCACCATGTGAGAGTACACTAAAAACCTCTGAAACGATTCTTTTCATTTTGAATTTCATTTTTTATCTCTCTATCCTCTAAATTCACTTTAAACATCAGACCCATAAGCTTTCTCATTTTAACACTCATTACACATAACAGAGACAAACTCTTCTTTCACCATAAAGAGACACCAAATCTTAAATACCAATTTAAGCAGGTCACTTTCCTTTGTCTTCTCTGGTTTGATATAGAGTTTTCTACCACTCTTTCCTCTTCTCCTCAACAACCTCTCTGATTTTGTCACACAAGCCAAAAGAAAATATGTACAAGAATCAGTTGCAAGAGCTAGCACAGAGAAGCTGTTTCAGCCTACCATCATATACTTGCACAAGAGAAGGACCAGATCATGCTCCAAGATTCAAAGCTTCTGTAAACTTCAACGGTGAAATATTTGAAAGCCCCACTTACTGTTCCACTCTCAGACAAGCTGAACACTCAGCTGCTGAAGTTGCTCTCAGTGCTCTCTCTTCAAAGGGCCCTTCTAAGTCTCTAACTGCTAGAGTTCTTGTAAGCCTTTCCCTCACTTCCACCATCTTTCTTTATGTTTTTTCTCAAAGTCTCATGATGTTTTTGTACCCTTTTGTTTTAAGGATGAGACTGGGATCTACAAAAATCTGCTTCAAGAGACAGCACATAGGGCTGGTCTTGAACTACCGATTTACACAAGTGTGAGATCAGGACCTGGTCACTTCCCTACGTTCTCTTGCACTGTGGAGCTTGCTGGAATGAGATTTAGTGGTGAATCAGCAAAGACTAAGAAGCAAGCTGAGAAAAATGCTGCTATTGCAGCTTGGTTCTCCTTGAGAAAAAGTGAGCTAATATTTTAAACTTTTCTAAATCCATTTGATACACTTGTTAATGTCTTATCATTTCACACTTTTGTTACACAGTGAAAACAAGCTTGGATTCTCAAAGAGGTGAAGAGAAAGAAAGAGAAGTAGTTGCAAGAGTCCTCTCAAGATTTAGACCCAAAGAAGTTAGAAGAAGAGAACAACATCACTCAAAAAGAAGACCTATCAGACAAGACACAACAACCACAAGAGACTTGTTGTGTGAGAAGCTCAGACTCATTAATCTGTACACCAATGAATCAGTGAAACACCATCAAACTCTACCACCGAGATTCTTCCCTTCAACACCAAATCTCCAACAACAACAGCAAACCAAAGTCAAATCATTACTCGAGAAGTCTCAAGAACATGCAGGGCTAAAACAGAGGAGCCGAGATGATGCAAAGCCAGAGATGATGATAAAGCCGTCTCCAACGTCATCAATGGAGAGAAGAAACTGTTACAGTAAACTTCTTCCCTTTCCAGAGATGTTTTCCGGAGGTTTTGGGTTAAACCATCAAAAACTCGCTCCAGCTGTTCATATGCGATCAGTGATTCCAGTTTGTTCAGCTCCTCCTCCAACTAAACCACCCAACAACACATCACTTAGTTCTTGTCCTGCTCCAAGCTCGAACCCATGATTAAAGTTCGTGTCTTTAGATAAACCCATGTTAAGGATTTGATGATAGATTAGTTAAAGTTGATAAATCGAGTTATGGGTTTATGTATGTTCGTTAAGACTTTTTTATTTTGAAAATTTTACGGTCTGACATGAATTCAATGCTTCTGGATTTGCACGTAGAACAAAAAGAGAAAGAGAGAGTCAGAGAGTGAAAGAGGAGCAGTAAATGTAGAAAAACATTTAATGGTATTTGTTTTTCGACATTAATGCGCCGATTGCTCTGCTTCTCCTTCCTCTCTCTCTCATTCATGGCTCTGTTTTAAGTTTTAACTTAATTTGTTTTTGTCCTTTTAAAAAAGAGTGAATTGGATAGAAATCCTTAACAAAATGGGAAATTAAAAATTTGCCATATTTTGATGGGGAAAATATTAATGTGTGGGGAAGAGAGATAAAGGAATAAATAGGATATGGAGTGAATTATGACATAAATTTATGTATAGAGTGCAAATACTCTTTAAAAAATACTATTAAACGGCTACGTAGCAGTAACTATTGACTTTTTGTTGACCGGTCCGGTTTATACGAAGATGTACTGCTATGTTTCAATTATCTGATCAACAGTTGTATCTCTTCCTCTTTAAGGTGTAGATCCTAGGATTGTAACATTCTTTATGTTAATACCCAAAAAATGAGCAGAGAGACACTTTCTGATGCTGTATGTAGGATTGTAAGATTGACATTTTATCTGTTAAATTTGATTTCGATTTATAATCTATTGTGTTTCAATCCAAAATTTTGAATAATTATAAGTCATCGAAACAAATAAAATGTTAAGATTCAATATCGTTAAAAATGAAGTAAATCATAAATACTAAAAAATTATAGCCGAATATCCAGTCCATTCTGATTTTTATTATATACTAATGATCGATCCTTGCACAAGTAGAATGTATTTCTTTTATGTTTTATATTAAGAATCTATTTTATAAAATGTAATCGTTAATATGCTAATTTAATTATAAAAGTTGGTTTAAAATTAATATTGTAGCTGTTTACTTTAAGTAATTGGATAAGCGGTTAAGAATGAAAATCATCTTTTTGAATTTTATTTGAACTTTTGTAGTTGTGATATATTGTTTAATTAATCATGATTATTTTGTACATATACAAATAATTGTTTTGCTGAGAAAGTACTTTGATGAAAATAATATGTGAAAGTTAAAAAAGATAATTTATTATTTAGTGGCAAAAAATGTAAACAGTGTGATTTAAAAGATCAATCTAGATACTGTTGTTTTAACTTTGTGTCACTTTATCAAGAACTAGTGGTGATCGCATGAAGCTACGGACTGGTTAACCCAAGAGATGATATCTCGTATGATTTCTTTAAGAAAGTCTTTGATTTTAGAGAATGACTAATTTATGTTTATTTTGAAAGATAGATTTTGGAAGACATTTTTGGATTGTAGTGAAGATCCCAAACCTTTTATATCTGTGTAAATGGTACAAATCGTTTTGTGGTGAGTTATGTGTGAATAAATGAAATGATTTATTGAGACTAATAACTTAGTGACAACATTATAGGCTAACGTACGTGGATTTTAGTTAATGCACCAAACATTTACTACAAAACTAAGTAAAGTTTGTTCGTAATAGTTAAATCTGAAATTTGAACATATTATTGTTTGTTTTTAGTTTTGGTTTTGTATTGCCGTGGTGATTTAGGTTTGAGAAAGTCAAACAGATTATAGTTGTGAATCTCTGATTTATATGAATATATTAGCGTAATCAAATTTATTAATTATGTTTTATTTTTAAAAATACGATGTATCTTTTAGTTTATGAGGTAAGTTTGTGTATTTTTTTATTTTCGCACATGTAAATGTTAAAAGATTATTAATAATATTTTATAGTTATTTAAAATAAAATTTGAAACTTGTACATATTGTTGTTTGCGTTTATATGATTAGTTTTAGGTTTTTATATATTATAAATATATTATCGTAATCAAATTTATGAATTATATTTTAATTTTTTAAATATGTAGTATGTTTTAGTTTACGATGTAAGTTTCTATACTTTTCATTTTCTTAACACATGTGCATCTTAAAAGATTATTAATAATATTTTAAAGTTATTCAAAAATATTTTTTATATATTTAAATATCAAAATTATTATAATTTGATATTTAAATGAGGTAATATATATAGATGATATGATATTTATTATTGAGTTTATCTATCTTCTATAATTTTAAATACTAAAAATATAAATATATCATTTAACTAAATTTATTAATTTTGTTATTTAATAAAAATTATGTATGTATTTTTTATGATTATAAAACTTATAATTGATTTGTGTTAAAAACATGATTTTTTTTTTAAATATGAACAATTTAATGTAGTGTTAATAAAATTAGTACAATGATAAAATGACAAGTGTCATATTTTGCCCTTATGAAAAAAAAATTCTACTTTATATATAAGATATATAATTAAATATAGAGTTTTAAATTTATAATTATATTTAATTATTATTTTAGCCTATTGTTTTATTTATAAAATTACTTATAAAGGAATTAACTTATAAGAAATAAATATCAAATCTATCGAAAAATTCATTTTTCTAAAATTTTGTGTTTTATTAAAAATTTTGTTTATTTATTTAAACTTATGGAACATATAATTTCACTAATTTATTTTTGAATTTTATATTATGTTAAAGATAAATTTGGAAAATAATTTTGTATTATTTTTGTAGATAATTTGTATTAAACAAAATAAATGGAATATCCGTCAATATCTGTAAATATTTACAAATATCAAAAAAAAATTTCAGACATCCGGAAAGTCAGATCCGTATTTCTCCGAAATAAAATAAATAAATAAAATCTGGAAAATATGAATAAAAAATCACAAATATAAAAAATTACGGTTTTATCTTATCTGCGTCCACTCCTAGCCGTGTGTCTCGGGACCAATAAATCAACCTTTAAAGTTTAGACATCCATCATCTATAGATTCAATGGTTGTTTTATCTCCCATGATTGCTTTATTTTATAGATGATAAAACCTTTATATAATTTAACACTGTTCTGATCTTGTAACCACTTGGACGGTTACTCTTATCATATTTACATTAGTCTAATACCATCCATACACACATGCAGACCCATAACTTCTAAACATCCGCACATCCATAACAGCCTCAGCCTATCTTGCTCGAGCCTTAACAATCCACTCAACTGGATCAATAACCCAACTAGTTAGAGCTGTCACTCAGCTCACTAAGCTAATCTAGCTAACTCATCCATTTGGTATAGTTCATCTAACCAACGGATCTTAAATTTAAAAGAACCATAAACATTTAGTAAGTACTTCGTGAATATTTTTTTTTGATAATTTGGAAGTATATATCAATGTATATGATTTGGATGTATTATCTTACAGTTCCGCTTATAGCTATTAATGGGTGATTTGATCAGTTTCTTAGTCTTAAACACTCGTAACTAACTCTTCACATTAATTTGTTTTTTTGTAACAAGCAGAAGTCTGCAATTAGGAGTGGACACGGATCGAATAATACCATAAATTTTAGTATTTGTAATTTGTTTCGTAGTTGACAGATTTCTAAGTGAATATTTACTTATATCTCATCACTTTGTTCAGTACAAGTAGATCTAGAAGAACTATACAAGTTTGTTTTCAAAAAATATCATTTACATAATATCAAATAAAAATTAAATTAGTAAAACTATATTTTTCATAATTTAATAATTAATTAATTATTTATGAAACACAAAATTTTGTAAATTAGTATAGTCAATGCCGATTGGTATGATACTTATTCGGCAGAAGTCAGAAATTTTATAATTATTTTATATTTATTTCTTAATTTAATACTTTTATAAATAACTAATGAAGTTATATGGTAAAATAATAATTATAGAAAATTAAATTTAAAAGTCTATATGTAATTGTAGATATATATTATTTGTACAAAATTTGGAGCGGATCAGATATCTATCTCTAAAATTTCAGTATTTCTCATTTATTTTGTTTTTAACAGATATTATTTTTTAATATTTATTTGCTTCGAAGATTTATAAATATCCGATTTTTTTTTGATTGAATTGAAAAGAATAATAAAACGAATCAAATTTAACATATATAGTGTATAGCTTTATAACCATTGCATTGGATCATAGCGGATATAGTTTAGTGGTAAAAATGTGTTGTTCTTTTAACCCCTTTAATAGTTAGAGTATGTTTATTTTAAAATAAATTACCAGTGACGTGTTTCAAAACCCTTAAACTAGTAATGAACATTGTAGCACACTGTTTTGAATTTAAATTGACTGTTCAATACATTCTGAAATAGATTTGAATCTGAAAGTATTCTGTTTTTCTAGCCAACAGTTTTTTCTTGGGGGAGTTTAATTAAACTCTTTGGATTATCTAATCCCCAATAAATACAAGTCTAATTCAAAAGAAAGAAATAATAATTACTTGTCAAAAAAAGACAATAGATGTTTGACCCATCCACTGGCAGTCAAACCCCCAAATAATGATACTCGCTTTCTTTCCCTTTCATCAATCTTTGACTTTTGACTCTTCCCCCATCCCCTCACGATCTCGCCACGTGTAATCTCCTCTCCTCGTTTTAACTTCCATCAACCGTTGGATCATTCCTCCTGCTGTTATCTGGGTTTCGTCTCCGTCTCTCTTCTTCTCTGCTTCGATCTGTTTTTTCTTCTTTAATAAACTGAAATTTCGTAAAAATTAGGGTTTTTGATTTGTGATACGATGAAAGCTTCGATTGGGATGTTGAGGAGATTAACATCGCATAAAGTCGACGCGAAGGAGAGAGGAGAGCTCGTTGCCACGTCACAGATTGACGAACTCGATCGAGCCGGGAAGGTAATCTCAGAATCTAGGGTGAAGAATTTACTGTGGAGGTAGTTAATTTGGGAAATTCGATCGAGTTTCTAGATTCTGGTTTAGGAGTGAAGAGCGGATCTAGTAGCAAATCCGATCACTTAGATTCGATTTGGGGGTTTTTACAAACCCTAAGTATCAAGAACATGAACAAGTTTTATGGAAAATCTTTATTTAGCTGAGATTGGTGGTTTCATGAGTTACAATTGAAGAAACACCATTTAGAGACTTCGAGTGATGATAATAATTAGAGCATGATTAAACCGGTCTCTTAGCCGGGGTTCTTAACTCATGAATAATTGACATTTTTTTTTATATTTTTCGGCTAATGGTCTCTTAGCTGGGGTTCTTAATTCATGAATTGACATTTTTTTTTTTACATTTTTCGGTTAACGGTCTCTTAGCCGGGGTTCTTAACTCATGAATTGACATTTTTTTTTTACATTTTTCGGCTAAGAGACTGCTCTTATATCTCTTTATTTAAGAGAGGTTCTTAGTTTTTCTTAGCCGAAGTTAAGAACATCTCTTAGCTGAAGCTAAAAATCCCAGTTAAGAAACTGGGGATAATGATGGTCTAAGCTCTCTTGTGATGTTTCAGGATATGCAAGATATGAGAGAGTGTTATGATAGACTACTTGCTGCAGCTGCTGCCACGGCGAATAGTGCTTATGGTAAAGAAATATTCAACATTCATATGTTTCTGATTAACATAGGAGTGATCTTTTTACGCTCTATGGTTATGTTTTTCAGAGTTCTCTGAGTCGTTGGGAGAGATGGGTTCTTGTTTGGAGCAGATAGCGCCTCATAACGATGATGAAAGCAGTAAGTAATATTGAATATTACTTTCCTTTGTATGTGATAGGGTGTGTTGTGTAAGTAACATTGTTTTCTTTCTGTAGGTAGGGTTTTGTTTATGTGCAGTAAAGCTCAGTTTGAGCTTCAGAAACTTCTTGACACTTATGTAAGTGAGCTGTTTGTTTGCTAACACCAGCTTTGCGAAATCTCTATTTATAGAAAAAACTCACTTGGTTACTGTTTTGTTTTCTTTTCAGCGTAGTCATATATTCAAGACGATTACGTTGCCATCAGAATCGCTTCTCAAGGACCTCAGAACTGTTGAGGTATGCCATTGTTTTGCTATACTCATGTATTCAAGAAACTCTCTTTTTTTTTTATTCATCTTTTTTTTTTCTTTTATAAATGAGCAGGATATGAAGCAACAATGTGACGAGAAAAGGTTTGCTTATTTCAATACTCAAGTTTTCTATATGTAGTTTGATAAACTCTTGTCTTAAACTGCTTTACCTATAAACATCGCAGAAATGTGTTTGAGATGTCGCTTGCGAAAGATAAAGGAAGGCCTAAAAGCAGTAAAGGAGAGAGACATATTCGTCATGAATCTCGACCTGCTTACAATGAGTTTCATGAAGAAGCAACAATGTGCATTTTTCGATTGAAATCTCTTAAGGAAGGACAAGCTCGTAGTCTCCTGACACAAGCAGTCCGTCACCACACTGCTCAGGTAAAAGATTAAACTCAGTTACTATTTATAGTAATTCGTTGCTTTTGGAAACATGGTAATCTCTTGTGCGTTCTTTGACTTTTTTCGTCTTTTGATTTTCTTAGATGCGTCTGTTTAACACTGGAATGAAATCGCTTGAGGCAGTTGAGCGTCATGTAAGAGTTGCTTCAGAGAAACAACACATCGACTGTGATCTCTCTGTTCATGAGAATGAAGTGGAAGCTAGTGATGATGATGATGATGATGGCCAACACAATAACAGAGAAGGAGAACTCAGTCAGCAGAGGGTAGAAGCTGCTTTTCTCTCAACCCGTGATCACAGAGTGACTAGCCATTCAGCTCCGTTGTTCCCGGAGAAGAAACCTGATATATCAGAAAGGCTGAGACAGGCGAATCCATCTTCCAATGCTTACGTATTACCGACACCAAGCGATTTAAGGCACTCAAAACAAGCTTTAAACCCGAAGCCAGCAAACCAAAGCGCCGGAAACATATCGTATTCATCTCCTTTAGAGCCGATAAAAAGTGTAAAAGACGCAGAAAACAACAGCCTCTACGCTCGTCTCCCTCGCCCTTCTGCAGCAGACACTCAGCAACATAATCAACATCAAGCAGCAGTAAGACATGCATTTTCTGGACCGATCAAACCCTCCTCATCAAAACCCGCCACCACCGACGTTTCCTCAGGCGCGTTTCGTCCTCTACCGACTCCTCCTCCATTACCCCAGCATCACCTTCATTCATCAGTCTCCCCTACCGCTTCACCACCTCCTGCTTCTTCATCCCCGAGGCCTAACGAGCTTCACGAGCTTCCAAGACCACCAGGCCACTTTGCACCACCTCCAAGACGAGCCAAATCCCCTAGTCTCGTTGGTCACTCGGCGCCTCTAACCGGATGGAATCAAGAAAGACACAGCACTGTTACCTTTGCTCCTCCGTCCACCACCAACATTGTGGCATCGCCACTTCCGGTTCCTCCATTGGTTGTTCCTCGAAGCTACTCTATACCTTCAAGAAACCATATAACCGTTGCTCAAAGAGCTGTCGAAAGTAACGATGATAGAGTAGAGTCCCCACCGTTAACACCATTGAGCCTCTCTCGGCCACTCGGGTCCAGTAGAGTTGCTCAGACCAATCAAATCAGAGGTAAAACGTAAAAACATGTTTTACGTTTTCGATATGCTTCAAACGCAAAAAATATGTGTTGCGTTGGAGTTATTGAAACCTCCATAGGTTATTAATTTATCTTTGCAGGAGTAGTAGAGCTGATCGAACGATGAAGCTGTGCGTTTGACCAAAACGCTGGTTGTAGAGAGTCATAGATCGCCAAAAAAGTGAATACAGTAGTCAGTACATGCAGTACTCTTTAGTTGGTTACTCTCTTTTTTTTTTCATTGTAAATCTGAAGAATTTATCCCTGCTTTCATTTCTAATCCCTTCAATTATTCTCTCAAATACCCATAAAGGGTAACTGGCAACAATAATCATAAAAATTATAATTAAGAGACTAACCTTGAAAACCTAATGGCTACAGTATGGTGTTGTGCATGTATGTATTAGTTTCTTTTTCTTTTTCCTTTCATCTTCCCTTTTAGAGTCAATATGGCCAGTTTTCCTTTCACTTCCATCTCCATGGTTTCTTGAAGAAACTTTGTAGTTTGCGCTAAAGATGGTGTGGTCCAGAGCTTGCCAAATCTGTATGTTTTGCATAAGTTAGGTGTTTCTTTTACACGATGTGCTTAGAATTCGTCCACCTTTTCTCCTGTATGTTCCCTTTTGATTTTGTGAGTACTTGAACAGAGCTGTTATAAGACACGAGATCTCCATATGGATCGATGTTCCTATGGATATTGCAGCTAAAAGAGATGGTCCATTCAGCTCAGAACCTTCCTCTGATGCCTTCCTTGTTTTCTTCAGAGCAGACGTTATCACGCATTTGGCAAAGAACTTGGTGTTGGTTCTCTGGTACGGAGAGGAAAAAGTACATGAGCATTGCCAATGCTGCATTGGGTGTGAAAGGGAATCATCATGATCACGTGATGGGCTTATTCTGTTGGTCCACTAGTATGTGGGCCTATTATATGTGGCCCACTGAGAGATAAGAATGGGAAACAGAGGAAATGGGTTATCTTCTCTTGGTTTAGTGTTTATTGTTTATTGTCAGAGCTCCAAGAGCCAACTGCGGATTCCTATGAAGGGTCGGATTCAAATGGTATCTCCTTCTCTTTGTTTTTCTTTTGCCCTAGTATAGATATTATATACTATTTGGTTTATAAAGGTGTGGCTAAAAACTCACTTGAATCGTGGTTGCAATAGAGGTTTAACAGCTGCAACTCTTTACCAAATACTCAGGTTGTTATTACTGGAACCTGTAGTAATTGTGTCTACGTACAACATAACCCATAGTATAATGTAATAATCAAAAGCGAGATCATCATTTCAGAGATCAAACGTCGGAATTTCAGAAGAGAAACCATGTGAAGCCTGATACATCATCCTTGGCAACAAGTGTCTGTAGGGATCACTCTCTCTTTTCATTTTCAAATAGTCAATGCATTGTTCAACCTCAGACTTCACCTGCAAGTAAAATTCTTGAGCCTTTTCTTTGTCTTTTAGCTCTCGTTCCTTGCCTGCCACGTAAATTAAAAAAAACAAAGTCAGCTTTAAGAGAGAGTTATCAAAGTTTAAGAGTAAGCAATATATATAGAAGACACCTGCTGTTTCTATTGGTTTCCCAAAGTAAAAGTATAACCGCCCAGGAATCTTAGGAAGAAGTACTGGGAGGTAGCATTTCTGGTTTCCCAGTTCGGTCTCATCTCCTTCCCTAACCATTTTTGACTTTCAAATTCAGTTTTTCATTATGAGTTTTTTACTATAAAAATGAGAAATATGAAAATGGAGACACCTTAAGTTTCCAGCTTGCCTTGTTGCCTCTTCCATGAAATCCTTTAGGAATGGGATGTTCCTTTGATCATCGGAATCGAGGACAAGCTGATAATATCATCCAATGTTAAAGTAGAGTTTTGCAGAGCAGAGAGAAAAACCAGTAAATTTCTGAATAGAACCATTCATATAAACATGGAGGAAGTAGGAGAAATCTTACATGGCAGATGTCATCTTCTCCAACAACACCAAAAGGGACAATCTTAGCTTCAAATTTAGATGCAACTCTCACAAACTCTGGTTGCTCTGGCCAAAACAACTTGTACTCTTCACCCTGCAAAGAGTCTCTCTACATGTTTAGACAAGTCTAGGAACACAAACGTTTGTTATAGTGTTTTGTCTAAGTTAGTGAGAGAAAGAAAAGCACCTTTTTATGAAAAGCTTCACGGATACCACCAGGATACAAAAGCACATGTGACTTTGATCTTAGTAGATTGTAGATACTGAACTTGTTGACAGGAACTCCACCAAGTAACTTAAATTTGTCAAGGATCTGTGGGTCGACACAAACATCTTGGCCGTTTAGAAAAAGCATTGGATGTGCCAAACCGCGCAAGTGAATATTTCTCTCTTTCAAGATTTGAGTTATCATTGGAATTAGCTCTAGTCCCAATAACATGTGATAGCCAACGAACAAAACAGGTCCTTGTGAAGGTATACCTTCAAGTCCCCTCACAATTTTACCATCTTCAAGTGTTGACAGATATACAGGTGATGTAGGACCTATTAGTATTCTGCAAAGCAGAAAATATAATCATTCAGTATTTGGCTATAACATTTGTGTACTTGATAGAGTGATTTGTTTTTTTTACTTGTGGTTGTCTAGTTGTTGCTTTATCTCATATTTGGTAGGCATAATGTAATCTGAAAGGTGATCATGAGACTTCCCACGCCGATAGAAACAAGTACACTTGATGATAGTAACCAAGTCTACACCATCCTCCTAACATGAGAGTGTAGTTAGTATCAAGACTTGACTCAAAAGTATCATCATCTTAAGTGGATGAAAGAGTTATATCACTTACGAAAAAGAGAAAGTGTCCATTGTCTTTAAGCTTACGGACAATACATTTTGGCAATGTGCGTGAGTATCTGTCAATGTCTTCTTCTTTGTTCAGCAGCCATTGATCACGTCCACTGCAATAGTCATAGCAAAATATTCACATTACACATAAGATATAAGGTAGGACATGTACATGCAAATCAAAGAGATTAAGAACACTTGAAACAGAGAAACTTATTGGACCTCAGAAGTATCAGTGTTTCAGCTCTGACTGCGTTTATGTGAGTATTCGCAGATTCAACAGCAGACGTAAGCAGTTCCAGCTTCCAAAGAAGTGTGTCCTTAGGTAAAGTATATGTTTCTAAGGGATCTTTTACAGAAAATTCATAGATCAATGAGTTTCTAAGAAGGTATCCTTACAGGAAGATTAGCTGAAACTGCAAAAAGATCTCTTACTATCCCTCCACCAACTCCACTCATCTGATGGACTGCAAACTCATTCGTCAAAGCGTCTAAAGTCCCAGGAACAGATGAAAAACATGGTTTAATGATGTTGTATAACATTCAACAGCTTTCTAACTATAGTCAAGACGACACAATAATATAAAACTTAAGCTCAACTAGAACTAGTATGTCAATATATATAGAAAATGAGAAGAGAACAAAAGTGTACCTTTCTTAAAACAAAATATTTCTTCTAATAGTGTATGAACTCCATCTGGAAAAACATTTAGCATTCTTACCAGAGGTTGTGACATGAGGTTGTTGACATGTGTGGCTGAAACAAACAATGTCTATGATGATGTACATGAATCTTGATATCTTACAGACAAAATATTTGATTGAGCTTTGTACTTGGGGGTGGGCAAAAAAAGGAACTGAACCTGAGATAACCGAACCAAAACCAAACCAAAAACCAAAGTCTATTATTAAATTGCTCGGTTTAAAACTTTTCCAACCCGAACCAACCAAACCAATCCAAACCGAAGCGTGTTAAATCAAACCGAAAAATCAATGTATTTTTGTTATTATTTGAATTAAACATATTAACAATATACAATATACTAAAATATTAACACTAAAGTGTCACTATTAACTTTATTAACAATTTTGATTTTTTTTTTAATTTTCTATTTATTCTAGTTAACTTTAGTTTGATTGTGTTTTTATAAAAATTTTGTGGTTTTTAAAGATTTTTGTTTCAGTTTTACATTAAATTTAATCTACATAGTTTATTTGTAATACATTATTAAGGGTGTTTTTAATTTTCTATTTACTTTAATTAATTTGATTGTGTTCTTATAAACTTTTTGTATAAAGATTTTTGTTACAATTATATTTTGAATTTTGTGTCCACCCATATTTGTACCTGGATTCGCCAATATCAGAAGAAGATCGATGTTGGGATTCCTAGCTGCAACATCTAACGCAAGACACGCTCCAATAGATTCTCCAACTAAATAGATAGGTCTATTTGGGAAACGATAGTTCTCTGACCTAACTGTCCTCTCAATAAGTTTCACCAAGTCTGTAAACACACAAAACAAAAGGCTTTATACGCATTAGGCTATCTACGAGGTTAACAAAGGTAAGGAGTAAGAGGAGAAGGCACCTTTAGCAGGAGTACGGTCCCTGACTGGAATGTGAAGGCACCATACATCAAACACCCTACTCAGAGTCAATAACAACAAAAAAAAATGACAAAATGAGCAATATCAACAAACAGAGAAACCATGGCTCAAGAAACGATACGAAAATGAGAAAAATCTAATGCAAATTTGTAAGCTTCTAAAGAAGGGGAGAATTTGAAATTACGCACTCCCCAAGTTTCTTGTGGTGACGAAGGAGCCCAAGGCCAGTACCATCAATACCTACAAGGTTTTAAATCTTGTTAGCCTTTCAGTGTTCATGGAAATTCAATGAGATTACATCTAAAAATATAAAACCTTGTATATTAAAAGAGATGCATTAGACTTGAGATGTGATATGTCACAATGAGAATAATTCTTGAGAATTAAAAAAATAAATAAATTGGTACATCTAATATAAAATATAGTTTTTATCCAACTAACCATAAAGTTCTTTATTAATCTAAAAATATATTCTCCATTATTTCTTTAAATAACAGTTACAAAATTATCTAATATAATTATATATATGTGACAATGAAGGATTTTCAATAGTAAAAATTATCGTATTTCATTTTTGTTTAATCTTTGTTATTAAAATAAATTATACAACTACATTAATCATATAATAAAAATTTCTTTTTCTCCGTATATTTTTAATTTTTAACTTTTTAAAGAATATAAATTACTAATTGTTAAAATTTGCATATAAACTTTGTGATATATGGGTTCAGTTTTTGCTATAATACGATACAAATGATTATAAAATTACATGAGTAAAAATTCTTATTTAATAGGTGTTTATATATATATAAAATATATATTATATCATTTATATTAATATACCATATCAAATACCTACATAAGTTGGTCCATCTCAAAATAAATCTCAAAATAAACTACTGGTTTCATTAAAATAACCACAAAAATCCTAAATAATCTTAAAAATATTCTCCATTATTTTCTTAAATAAAAACTATAAATTACTTAATATGATTAAAATTTATATCATAATTAGTGATTTTCAGTAATAAAGTTTTGCTGAGACTTGTATACCCTCTATCATTATTTTTAAATCATTTTTATTAAAATAAATTACACAATTATATTAAACATATAATAAAAAATTTAAAATTTTCTGTGTTTGTTGTATTTTGAATTTTTAAAAACGTGTATAAATTACTAAACTGTTAAAATTTTCATATAATTTTTTTTGATCAATGGTTTAAATGTTTTGCTATTATAAGATACAAATGATTATAAAGCTACATAAATTATAAGTCTTATTAAATGTTGGGTCGACAATCTATTTCTCCAAGAGAACTATTGTATAGCACCAAATGTCCACAGAACTATGACCGCGTTCTATTTACCCCCGAGAATAAAGTTTGAAATGTATTTCTCCACCAAATTAAAGTTACATCGATATTTCCCTGCAGTTATGAATATCTAAATCTAAAAACCCACAAAATCGATTTTTATTGGTTTACTATTTGTAAACAAACCGTAACCCATGTTAAGCCAATGACTAACCAGATTAAGATCCAATCAGTCGGATATTTTTAAGTTCGAGTCAGATTACTGTTCTGATCCAGATCAGAGTTCGGTCAGGTTTTTAATTTTTTCTTGGTTTAGTTTTGGTTGGTTTTATTATATGAGAGGAGATTTGAAATTCGGTTTTCAGAAATCCTAACTAAACCAAATTTGGTGGGGAAATAGATTTCGAAATTTATTCTTGGGCCTAAATAGAACATGGTCATAGTTCCGTGGACATTTGGTGCTATACGATAATTCTCGTGGAAAAATAGATCGTAGCCCCTTAAATGTTTCTATATATATATTATATCATTTGCGTTAACTATATACCATATAAAAGTACATATTGATATTTTGATACTTGAATTGAAGAAATATTGAAAACTAAATATTTTAATTATACAATTTGTATTAAATTTTAAAATAATTATAAATTACTAAAATTATTAAAAAATTCACATTAATTTTTTTTATCAAAAATTTATCAATGGTTTAGAATTTTGTTATAAGAAGATGCTGA